TTAATTTGACAGAGGAATTGAAAATTTTATTCAACTATAATGGAGAAATAATTACAATAATTTCATTTCTTACAATTATTTTAACTTCTGTAATAAATCAACTTGTAAAGAAAAATCAATTTTATATACGAGACATATCAAAACCCTAACAATATTTCTCAAATAGTATAAAAATGAGTGGAATAAACAAAGCAATATTTCTCAAAAAAATAAAAACCACAATCGAATTTGGGTCACAAATCCAATAATCTCTATATTGACACAAATTTCATTGCAACGAACGAAACTCCAAAATTTCTCCACTTAGAGAAAAAAAATCTGACCGTAAGGAATGAACAAAACTCTTCAACCAAAAATTTTCCACCTCTTCCACGATATCTAATTAGAATAAATGAATCCAAGAAATGATCTACAAAATTACTTCGGGTTCGACAAAAAATCACAAATGATTTAAAATTTACCAAATAGGCCGAAACACACCCTAAAACAGAATCAACACCAAAAAAAATTCGAAAGCCCCCTTAGACTCGACACCTTCAAAGACACTTAAACATGAGCAATAAAATCAACATTTCCATACCTATCTTCATTGGGTTTGTCCGTAGCAATTGAATAGATGGCATTGCAGGTGGTGGCAAAGCGGCATTACTCACATCATCCAAACTTGAGCTATATTTTTGAACATGGACCCCAAACCAAATCTCAACGATACTATACCAAATTGAATATCCACCACGGTACTAAACATTTTGCTGATAACATGGATTCTATGCAACCTTGCAAGACGTGTAACGAGACTTTTTCCGCTCCTCCAATACAACTCGGACACTTGTGCAAACTCTTAATGTTCTACCTCCACCAAAAAACTTGTACCCTCTTGAATCAAGAGTACTCAACGAAGTGAGATTTTTCTTCAAAACTGGAATGTGTCGAACTTGATTAAGTGTTTTAACTGTCTCATCCACCAGTTTAAATCTGACTCTACCAATAGCAACTACCCGACAATGTGCGTTGTTTTTCATGATCACGACACATTTTGAAACTCTTTCATATGTTGCAAACAGATCCCTATTGGAACACATATGAAAAGCACAAACTGAATCTAGAATCCAATCTTTCTCGATTAGATTCGTCGTTAGAAATATCCAAAACATTTTCATTACTCAAATAGCCCTCTACAACATCGGCTTCACCTGAAGTATCTGATTGCATTCTCTTCTAATTTGCAGCCAACTTATCATTAATCTGCAACTTGTTGCAATTTCTCTTGATGTATCATTTGTTTTTTGTAATAAAAACAAACTTGATTACTAAAATTAGATTTTGACTTGCCACTTTTGCGACCACCATGAACAATAAAACATTCTCCATCTCTAGTTTAGATCCAACCAGATCTTCATATTCTCCATTGAAAACAAAGTATTGTTCACATCTTCAATGGTGAGAGTATCACGACAATATAAAAATTGTGTCCCTAAACGACATGAATGAAGCAGGCAATGAACACAAAAGAATTAAGATCAAATTTTCTTCATCATATTTTACCTACAAAGTCTCCAGATTAGCGACGATTTCTTTAAAAACAACCAGCCGATCTTCCAAGGATCCACCTTCGGTCATGCGATGAAAATATAAACGTTGCTTTAAGTGCATTGTGCTTGTAAGACTATTAGTCATACAAAATTGCTCCAATTTCAGCGACAACGTAGTTGTTTTTTTCTCATTCAAAACGTTATGAAAAATATTATTCAAAAGATAAAGATGAATTTGTGAAAGTGCCTTCCGATCTTTCCGTTATTTTTTCTCCGTTGTCTAAGTTGTGGGAATCTTGTCAAATTCTAGCAACGCATCATCTAAATTTATCTGTGCAAGTACTGCTCACACTTCACCTGGCACAACGAAAATCTAGTAGGCAATTCAAAAGTGAAATGTTATACTTCATGGTTGCCATCAAGAACTAAAAATCTATAACAAATCAAACAAATGCTCTGATACCACTTGTTAGGGATGGAACGAGGTTATCCGCCATAATAAAAAGTATTGATTACAACAACAAGATGAACACATATAAGAATTTAATTTGACAGAGGAATTGAAGATTTTATTCAACTATATTGAAGAAAGGATTACAACAATTGTGTTTCTCACAATTATTCTAATTTCAATAATAAATCATTGTGTAAAAAAATAATTAAAAAAAAGCCAACTATGTATAGGGGACATATAAAAATCCTAACAATATTCTTTAAAATGGAAATAGCATAAAAAAAGGCGTAAAATAAATGAAATATTTTTTCAATAAAAAACACGTGGAATAAAAAAAACAATATTTTCTAAATAAAAAAAAATGTGAATAAATGAAACAATATTTTATAAAAAAAAATAATAATAATAATACCAAATTCGGGTCACAAACCCAACACATCACTTTTGAAAAAGAAAGTGACAAATAATTTACAATCGAAACTTCACGTAAAAATTATTGTCAACTAAAAACTAATGATAAATAAGGGTGTTAATCTATTTCTTGATTTTTGACCTTACTAAACCTAATTTCGTAAGTTTAGGCCCAATAAACACTTAAATTGCATATTGTCCAAATAAAGAGAGCTATGAAAAGAGAGTGGAAATTACATGATACCTAACTTTTGAAGTTTGCATTTCATAAACCATATTTCAAGTTTGATATTTCAAAATTCAAATTATAATTAAATTTTAATATTGTATTAAATAAATATATTACTATTTAAATCAGTCCACCCCAAATCATTCTCTCCCTCCCTCCTTTCCCCATTTTGATCTATTCTTCGCCAATAAACTACCCAACTCAAAGGCATTGTGAGAGTCTTGCAATGACCACGCTGCCACAATGGAAGGAGTGTCTCTACAACAGTGACATCTTTCGTTTTTCTCTATATCGCCCATTTTGGATTCGTCTCTGGTGACTGACCACTTACTGTAGCAGCACTCTGGCATTGATCACCACTACACGCGCAACGCTGCATATCGAGGGCGTAGTAGATTGGGCTTCTTCCATTTTTTCTCTAGTCATAGGTGGTTGTGTTTGTAGTGTTGGATGTGTGAAATTCTGTTGTTGTTTTGATGTTTTTGATCTGATAAGTTGTCTGTGGTTTTTGTTGGCGACGGCGGTGGTGGTAGATCTTTGTTGTTAGGTGGGTTTTGTTGGATTTAACGGTGGACCTGGTGGGGGTGGATCTGACAATGACGGTGGCATTAGTGGTTGTGTTGAAATTGATGGGTGTTGGTTTGTTTGATATGGTGGTGTTGGCGTCGGAAGGTGGTGGCGATGGTATTGTTGGAGGCGGTGCGACTAGAGGCAGTGGTAGTCACAAGTTATTGGTTGATTGCGATTAATAAATTAGTTAATTTGTGACTAATAAACATTATGTAACCAATTAAATAAATAAATTGTGACCAATATATAACGCGACTTATAAAATTTGTAAGTTGTGATCAATAAATAAATTGTAACCTATAAAAATTTTGATTTGTGAGAGTGAATAATTTGTGACCTATAAAATTTTTAATATGTGATCGAATTGTATAGAATTAGGACCTTAATATATTTGATTAATAAAATAAAATATAATTAATTATTTCATAAATAAAATTTAATGATTTCTGATTTTTAAAATTTTAAATCTTCTTTCTTAATTTTGAAATGGGTTACAATTCATTTCTTGTATATGAATATTTCCCAAAGAGAATTGCCAAAACACATGGAGAGCCACAGCCCACAACCATATCTAGATGTGTAGAATAAGTTTAGTTGTTTTGATAAATGTAATGGATTTTAATATGTACGTGGACAAAACTCAGGTTTAGAGGTACAAAGTGGTCTTTTCACAAGTTGGTTTTTACATTTTGAGAGCCCAACCAGCCTGCCTATTGGTCACAAACCTAACTATTTTTTAATTTTTAATTTAATATTTTTCTAAAAGTTCAATGGGGCCTAGATATCTTAGGGAATTGGGTAATTTTCACTATGAATATTTCCCAAAGAGAATTGCCAAAACACATGGAGAGCCACAGCCCACAACCATATCTAGATGTGTAGAATAAGTCTAGTTGTTTTGATAAATGTAATGGATATGTACGTGGACAAAACTCAGGTTTAGAGGTACGAAGTGGTCTTTTCACAAGTTGGTTTTTACATTTTGAGAGCCCAACCAGCCTGCCTATTGGTCACAAACCTAACTATTTTTTAATTTTTAATTTAATATTTTTCTAAAAGTTCAATGGGGCCTAGATATCCGGATGATAGATCACTTACACTAGAGATGGGCCTTAACAACGGCCCACATCCCTTGATCTGGCCCGAACAAGTCATTTTCACAGTACACACTTTCTCCAACAAAAAAACACACCAATTTTCACAATTCAAAATCCGTGGCTTCTCTCTCCTCTCTGTTTCTGTAAAATCACAGTACCCCAGGAAGACAGATTCCCTTCGGTTCATCCATTGTCATGTCTCTTTCTTCTCTCTCACACACACATTCAGTAAACAATCATACGCAAGCACAGTGACCCCCTTTCATATTCTGAAACCCTGCTAGAGCTAGTTGTCTTCTTTCTATCAACCCCTTCAGAAAAAGTTTTTTGCTGCTCAACGGCGTCTTCTTCAGAACTGTCAGTGCCATTTTTAAGCCTTGTGCAGTAAGGGGTCTTGATTTCTTTTAGCTTTTGTTTTTTTTCCTATTTCAAGAATCTTGTAAATCTAGCAACTTAATTTAATTGCAATAGGGTAGATTTTTATTCTGTTCTTTTTGTTTAATTTTGATAAAAATTGAATCTTTTTTACTGTTTGAGTGTTTGTAGAACTTTAAGCCCTTAAATTCCGGAGTTACATAAAACCTTACAAACCCATTTGTTTGAGTCTATGTTCAGCGGAAATCATGCCATTGCTTTCCCTTAAACCATTTTTCTTGTAAGATTCTTTATTTAGAATCAGATCTTGATTTTTGTCTGATTTGATGGGAATGGAATCACGTAGTCAGGGAATGGAATTTGCAGGTAAGTCTAAATCATTTAATCAACCTTCAAATATTTCGGAAATTGTTAGTAAATTTGCGAAAGTATGCAAGCTTAGATCCGTTGGTGTTTTTAATACATCTGAAAGCCAGTACCATAGTCATAATCACCAGCAATTTTTCCACAATACTGCACAATCATTAGCTGAAGAGAGCAGCAGGGATGCCACTGAAGAGGCTGAGTTTGATGCCGAGAAAATCCATTCGCAATCTGCCGAGACACGAAAAGAAGGGAATAAGTGTGGGCATATGGAGATCTTGAAATTGTTTAGCACACTTTCAGCTTTGAAATTAGCATATGTTAAGCTCCAAGAAGCTCACATCCCTTATAATCCTGGAAAGATTAGAGCTGCTGATGAGAACGTTGTGTCTGAGCTTGAATCACTGTGCAAGATTAAGAGGGCTTACAAGGAGAAGCTATTGAAGGAATCGAATACATTACCTGCTTGCTCAGCTCTTTTGCTTGCTGAAACTCAGGTTGAAGAGAAGGTTTTGGAGAAGTTGAAGTATAAATTGAAGGATAAAGACAATGAGGTGGTTGATTTGCAGCAACAACTACGGGCCATAGTGACGAGGAACAAAGAGTTGACTGAAGGGATACTGGAACAAGAAAAGAAGAGAATTAAGGCTTTTACACACTCTTCTTTTGAGGACGTTGTCAAGGCAGCTGGAAAGGCTATTCATGATTTTGCCAAGCCTTTAATTGCCTTAATGAAAGTTTCTGATTGGGATCTAGACCAGGCTGCAAATGCAATAGAAAATTCTGTTGTGTACGCCAAGAGATCCCATAAAAAGTATGCATTTGAAGCTTATGTCGTCCGGAGAATGTTTCATGGGTTTCAGCCTCAACTCTACAATGCAGATAATATTTTGAAATCGGGTGATCCAATTGATGCTTTGATTGAAGATCCACAATCTAGTTTTGCCAAGTTTTGCAGAACAAAATATCTACTAGTAGTTCGTCCCGAGATGGAAATATCATTTTTCGGCAACTTGGACCATAGGACTTTTGTGGCTAATGGGATGCATCCACATACTCCTTTTTATCGTGCATTTGTCAAAATGGCAAGATGGGTTTGGTTTTTGCTGGGATTTACAGCTTCTATTGAGCCTAAAGTTGAAATGTTCGGAGTTAAGCAGGGAAGTGAATTCTCGGATGTTTACATGGAATTTATAGAGGAGCTGAAGGAATACAAAGCTTTGTTGGATAAAGGTCATGGAAGCTACAAAGTTGAGTTCATGGTCATGCCTGGTTTTAAAATAGGGGAGAGTTTAATCAGGTCTCAAGTCTATGTCTCGAAAACGGGATTGTCAAATGAAACATTCTAGAAGGAGCTGTTAGTTCAGATACCAGTTGAAGTTTTTGCTTTCAATTGTAAATTTTTTTATAGCATTTTAACTTGGCAGCTGACTGTTAATTCTGTAACCGCCCTCATGGTGAAGTACTCAAAGCCTGCACTTTAATGGTAATCTTATCTGAATATATTTATATTTATAACGGCGATTTGTTGCATCTTTCTGGCTTAATTATTATCTCGCTAATGATGATTATATATTTATTCACCTAAGGTAGAGCAAGTACAAGTCCTTACCATATGTCTATGATGTTTGATGCTAACTTTGATTCCTGCATATTGATTGATAAATCTTAGCAACATCTATATAATTTGACTGCAATGAAATTTAAGAATGTCGATCATGGCTATCTTAGTACTTGCTTCAATGAGTGGAAACATTTCTCCACAAATTCTATTAGTTTATGACTAGGGAAGAGTAGTTGGTTGTGCTGCTAAAACTAGAGAATAGAATGCAAGTTTTTGTAGAAGCCATATCTAGTATGCAAGTTGCTTGTGTGTTTCACTTATCGTCTTTGCTGGTTTTGGAAAACAAATCCTTGCATAGCTCCCCGTAGAATCTGCATACTAAATCAATGAAAACGGGACAAGTGAGGTTCTTCCAGCAGTACAGAAGCTCTTCCACGTCCGTCAAATCCCCCATTTCACCCTCTTCAACAATCATCTCTATCAGATAATTCTCAAAGCTCCTGCAAACATCTTCAACTTCTTTCTTTTTATTAGCTTCACTATTTCTTGCCTTTACTGGACTGATGGGTGAGAGGTAGAATGGTGAATTATTCCAGGCATTTGATATACTCTTGAGCTCCATGACTCGATCCATCTGTTCTGTCTCGATCACTTTTAGGAACACCAAACAGACCAAATTTTAGCAAGTCTTCCTGATGTTTGTTCGTTGAAGATAAAACTTAAGGGCTCTTATATAGACTTGGTTTTGGCATGGGTCCTAAAGCTTGCATTCGAAGGGAGTGGAATGTACAGTATCATTTTGTTAATGATTGAGGATTGCGTGCTGATGAAGGGATTGAGAAGATTGGTGGTGGTGGATCGTGAACCACAATAACCACCGGTTAGTGTACTTTGGTTGGGAGTATTTCAATTTTCAAGTATTGATTTATCGGGATCGCAATATTAATCTTGATGTTGGAAATTTAGTCCCGAAGAACACGAATCATAAAAACTTCCTTTGAAATGTTTACCTCATCACAATAATGCCTTTAAACTGTTGTACACCTACTTCAACATTGAACCCCTGTTTGAACCACATTAAAATTTTCATTCTCATTCTTCTATTCATTTTTAATCACACATTCTTCAATAAAATAATATTTTCTATCACATCAATAACTTTTCCTTCTTTTTCAACTATACATTTTTCATCAATCTATTATTTTAAAATACATTCTTCGAAAATAATGTGACTCAAACTCACACTGAGTCATATTACTAAGAGATTGAGGTTGCAATATTGGATCATATGCAATTACTAAAGCCACTTTTATAAGAATTGAAATTGAAATAACGTAGTCCTCCATTTATGTGACCTTGGCTAAAATTACAATAATTAATAAAATTAATAAAATTCACTAATATATTGATAAAAATAGAAAAATATTAAAATGGAATCTGCAAAATTGAAAACTAAGTTGTTAAAAAACATTATTTTTAAAGCCCCAAATGAAACAATGTTTGTCAATAGACATTATAAAGTGGCACACTGGCACCGATGCATTTAATTTATATACACATTTGATTGCATCAATGCCATTTATTTGTATGTACATCCAAAGTTTCTGATTTTCTGCGCACGCACACTACATCACACTGATTGATCAAATTCAAAAGAGAGGAAATATTTAAAATCTTCTCCCTTTGTGGCCTAGTTTCTTGCAGTCACTCGAACATCTCACAGAACAATGTTTCTGTGCGGATTTACTAGAAACCTCGTAAGGTGCTCGAAACCCGATACTTTCCACAGCATCGACAGTCTTGAATAACCGTCTCCTATTGACCTCCTCTACTAATGACTGGTGAAGCAACTGGCTGCGCGTATCCACTAGTGACCGGTTCCTTGTCAATCTAGGCATTTCCATCTTGTTTTTAGAAGTGGAAGCTCGTTTTGATTCTAACACATCATTGCACTGCTTGTAGCAAATCTTAGCAACATAATGCCCTGTGCCTGAATTTTCTCCGGGATGGAATCGAGAAGAAGTTGGAGTATTTCCGAGGACATACAGGTTGTGTCTTCTTGGGCTTATCACAGGATCATGCTCATCAGCAGAATTGTAAGTCCAGTTGGAATACTTTCCGGAGTGTGAAGAGCTCTGTGAACTAGTATCATCAAACGAGTCATCTATAGAAACAGAAGTTATCGATTAAGATTGTAACAATATGCTTAGCATATTCTTTCATCAATGAAAATGCCATATTCTAATATCTGGTCGAACAAAATAAGACACAATCAGAATGCATGGCACAACTGGGAAGTAAGGAGCCCGGATATGGTTTCAAATGGTACACAGTAATAAAGAGGCAATAATATGATTTCGTGCAACTATTTGGGGAAAATGTTACTGTCCATTGATGTGGTGCTAACAACTTTACCAAATGATCGATAAAAACTCGAAACATTTTTTCTATCACAACCCGTCACCCCCTCCCCTCCAAATTCTCATTCCCCTGGGACATGGACCAGGTTCATATCACCCTTCAATTTAAATTAGCGAAAACTCCAAACTCTCATGAACTATAATAGCAATACCTTGAATCGAATGACTATTTTGAGATTTTGTGTCCATTTTCTGAGACGCAATTGAACCCAAAAGTGACAACTGGGACGATGAGGAAGGTGAGAAAGGATTACTGTGATCATAATGATCCTCTTGATAGTTCACCATATGGACGTGAGCCGACTGAGGATTGTCCGACTTCCAATTCGGTACAAGACCAGTAATCTCTGCATCAATCATATCTGCAATTTCTGATGGTTTCCAGTCAGCAATCTCTAACTCCTTCACCATTTCATTCGCAACATCAATGGGGGTGTCAGAAACAATGTCAAAGGGAAAAAACACGTTCCTAACATCACCTGACAAAAGCATATAAAAAAGAAATCCTTAAGAAAGATTGTAGATTTTCACCACTAATCAAAAAGGAATCACAGGATGTAAAGATTAAAAAAGGCCAAAACTTAGGAACGTGGAGTGGGCAAAAATTACCGTCTCTATCAGCAATTTGTACTTTAAGAAAGATGGTCTCATCCTCAGGGTTCAGCTTCCCTGTAATAGTCATGTTAGTCCTTGGTAAATCCTCGTTCAACTGCAGATCCTCGATTTTAATATTTTCATTCAGAAAAGGCTTTTGAATATCATTTTTCAACTCTGGCTTATCATCAAAGTCACCAAGTGCAAGAAATGGATCAAGCATTAGTTCCTTTGCTGGCAATCTCTTAGATGCAGATTCCAAGCATCTCCCAATAAATCGTTGGGCTTCCAAGTCTTGAACTTTGTAGAATGCTCTTGGCTTTTTTCCCTTAAAAAGAAAAAAAAAATCAAGTCATCCAGATTAGTTTCTGACCCATTTTTTACATCATTTTGCCCTAATTGTAACGTGATCTTACTGATGTCACTTTCTTGTAAATTTGAGCAGGGTTGGTACATTCACTGTATGGATATTCATAAGTTACCATCTCTAAAACACACATCCCATACGAATATACATCAACCAGTTCATTGTAGTTTTCTTCATATAATTCTGGAGCCATAAACTCTGGTGTGCCTAGCAAAATCAAAGAAAAGATTCAGCAGTCGATAATTAAGGGTCAAATTTAATTCAATTACAATCCCACTAGAGTTCAAAGAACCTATAAACAGAAAACTTTTCAAGATGTAATGATTCAGAACAGGAGATCGAATGAATCGATCATTCTAGCTCAAAAGTTATAGTATACTTAAAAAATTTCTTCACTTTATTCTAGGCATTTGGGGAAAGATAAAGCTTAGCTCACGTGGGCCAGAGGGATGGCAAAAGTATCCTTTGTATTCAGAAAATGCAGTATGATCTCGTCATTCATTTTGATTCTTGACTCATGCTTTCAAGACATGAAGTAACAATGCAGAATAGGATGCATGTACCTATAACACTGTGTGCTCTATGTGACCCACGCAAAATTGCTGCCAAGCCCAGATCACCAATTTTCACTTGTCCAAGATGTCCATTGACGAATATGTTATCACACTTAAGGTCTCTATGGATCACCGGAGGATCATGACCATGCAAATAAACAAGGCCTTCAAGAATTTGTCGCGCCCATATCTTTATGGCTTGAATGTCTACTTGCTTATACTTTGCTCTGTATCTGCATTCAATCAAAATTAAAATTCAGCCCTTGTTGTCCCTAGGCCTATTTGCATCCACAATGTCCTACATTAATAATGTTCTAAATGAATGAAATGTTACTCTCTGAGGGTGCCGGACGTGAACATTTCAGTGATGAAATTAAAGGTTCTTCCTTCAACATCGATCCAAGAAGTGTAGAATTTGATGATCGACTCGTGATTTAGGGTGCTGAGAAGATGAACTTCAGAGTATAGTCGTTGCAGATCCTCCGGTGACTGAAGCAAGTGATTGAGGTGGACTTGATTCCATGCTACTTCCATACCAAGCACCTCATCTATTGCCCTGTACACTGTTTTCATTGCCCCCTTTCCCAGAACTTCATTCAACTGTCCATCCATAATCCATAGATAAAAGGTTCAGATTCTTCAAATGCAATTTACAAATCAAAAATTAAAAATTTGATACTTAATCAACTAACCTTGTAAATATCTAACGAAAGAAATTCTAAATTCGTTACTAAAACATTTTACATCCTCGAAAGTTCCAATCTAAATCGTCCATATTAACAAGCCCTCCGATCTTAGTCTTTTTAAAATTATATAAACAGCAACTTTGCCAAGTAAAGCAAAGCAGAATCCACTAAGCATAAACAAATCATTACACTTAAGACAAACATATTCTAATTAAGAAAATCAATAATCAATAAACCCAATTATAATTGTATAAAGTATTTGCAAATTTCATACATAATTATGAGCCAAAGAATAAAAAATATAAAAATAATTGAAAAAAAAAAACTCAACATACTCGTCCATAACGCCCGGTTGGATCAGTTTCAACGTATCCATTTTCATCCATTGATTCCCCTGTTTGCTGTGCCCTGCTAGTACTCGATCCTTTCTAACTATATATGTATATAATTTCAGATTTTTGAGCAACACAATTAAGATTGACAAGTCTTATTTTGTATTAATTCAGACAAAAGGGCATCTAAATCCGAGGTTTTCCCTCGTGATTTTCGTAAGAGAAGAGACCAAATAGGAGCCAGAAGAGCCTGGAGTAGTCAACTTTTAACATAACCCAAGTCATATCCACAAGCAAGCGTGAAGAGTCGTAGCTCTTTCTGACCATTTAATTGATGATGAACAGTGACACACAAGACAAGATTTGACAGGGAATAAGAATAAAAATTGTTGGGAATTATTATTATTATTACCAAGCTTGTAATCTTGAGTGGGAGTAGAGGGTAATTTTGGCAGGAAATAAGGATTTTCTTGAATCAGTAAAAAACATGTGATGGAGCAAGAGTCCTAAACTTGAAGAATCTGTGGCTACGCTTTGCAGCAGCCATTTTGAGTGGTGATTGTTGGACTTCAGACTGATATTTTGAAGAGAGAAAAAAGTAAAAGAGGAAGAGTGTCGAAATTCAATAAAGACGACTGTGTAGGAAATGTCCAAGGAAGTGTATAACTGGGTTGGCGTATATAAAGGCAGGACGGAACTGTATAATATTATATATCTAGTCAAAATTGGATTTTTTATTTTTTTTATTTATTTATTTTTTGAATTCTGCCCTTTGTAATTCACAACTATGGGCACAAGCAATTTGACAAAGGTTTTTTCAAAAAAAAGGAATGAAAATTCAAAAAGTCTAGTTCGGTAGGTCGAATCTAATAAGATAGTTGAATTCGACAAGTAATTAACTGGCTCATTTTTAGTTATATGCCCGTTCCCGATTAAAAGTTAAAATCTACTTTTATGATGAAGAAATTACTTTTAAACATTTTTGGATAATTATATGAAAGTGCTCGATTGAATATAAGAGTTATTAGAGAAAATTCTTATTCAATAAGTATAAGCATCCTGTCAAACTAATTCTTAAATTCTCTATTTTTAGCCTTTTTTTAGAAAATTTCATAACTTTGTTTTTACAAGTTTATTAAGCGTGATATTTATTTATTAGTAAATGATTCGGGTTTTGAGTGACAATTATTGTATATAACTATAGAAATATAACTTATTCTCCTGTTTAATTCAGCTAAAAATGTTGATTAATATTCAAGTCAAAGTTATAATTAATTTTAACCAGACATTTTAAGGGATTCACAACTTTTTCGTTACTTATTTTATTAACTTTTATCAAAATCTGTTAAATACTTAATTTATATCTAAACCGAATAAGAACTATATTTGTATTATAGTTGAACATTTTTATTTCATTTTTAACTTTTACTCTTGATTTATTATCATTATTAAAGTACTTAAAAGTTTCTTAAAGCATAATAGGTGTGTTTGGTACTTTATTATTAAAATAAAAATGGTCAAATAAAATTAGGGAAAAAAATTGTGATAAATATTTCCACCTCAGCATCTGTCAAATATGTTTAAATTTGTAATTAAATCTTCCTAAGCCATGATTATATTATTCAACAATTGAAATTAAATTCTTTAATTGCTATTATTTGAAATATGTCTACCTCACTTATTAGCCAGAGTTTGTCAACTTGAGTCACTTGACGATCAATTAACTAGAATTTGTTGTCAACAAAATGAATTAGTATATGTAAATTCTACCACGCATTTACACAATAAAACATTTTGCACGTAATCCTAAAACTTTTTCATACTTTTAACCACACATTCTTAAAAAAATCATTATTCAAAACTTTGTTTTTGTCTGGTAATCAAACATGGGTTTGAATTTACTAGAAAAAAAAAAGATTATAGAGATTTAATTTAATAAACATTATGACGACAACAAAAAAATTAAGAGTTAAGCCATTTTGCCCAACTATTTGACAGATGCAGTGTTGACAATAGAAGATTGGATGCAAAACGATAGAATATCTTGTGACGTTTTGTCAAGAAAGTGGGCAAATGGCTTGATTCAAAAGTTAAGTTTTAATTACATTTAATTCAAAGTTGACATCAATTTATACACATTTACACCCAACATAAATATAAAATGGTCTACTTTTTGAGCCCAACCATACGAGATTTGTAATTGTAGAGAATGAGTATTGCAAAAAATATTAATAATTTGAGCAAGAGAATGACAATTTTATCCATTCTAAATGAATTCGACCGTTGATTATTATTTAAGGAAGAAGATTATTTTAGAGGGTACATTATTTTCTGTGAATTCTCAAGTGCTTATTCCCATATAGAGAAGAAAGTATTTCATTTTGTTGAAACCAATCTCAAATTTGATTGTTGTAACAACAAAAACCGTATACGAGACTTTCAATTCGTACAACTCAAGCAACTTGAAAAGTATTTGACTATTTTTTTGTAAATAGAGAGTCATAATTAGGTTTTGTATTATCATCAAACAAAAAGAGTGGTTAGGGAAAATAAGGGTGAGTTTTTAATTGTAATCTTCTTTTTATCATAATAAATTATTGTAGCGATGGAAGATAACGTTGTCTTACATTCAGGTAAATCTCTATAAATCTTGTATCTTTAGGGGCGCGTATTTATTTGGAACTTTTAAAGAGTTTTGAGGATTTAAAAAGCTTTAGTGCTTTCAATTGAGACTTTTAAAGACTCTCTAAAAGTTTAAGTGTATTCAATTGCGACTTTTGTAGACTTTTAAAAAGTATCTAAAAATCATGGGGTATTCAATTGAAACTTTTTAGAAGCCTCTATAAATCATGAGATATTCAAATAGAGAATGACTTTTGGAGAATTCTCTACTTACTGGATTCTGGAAACAATTTGGGTTCTTAAGATTTATGTTAATTCGTGAAATTTTTTGATTATGTTTCTAGAAATTGGTGTAAAAGTTCTTAAATTATTTTATTTGCACGAAAATTGAATGAATGGACCATAACTTACTACTCTGCCTAAGAAAATTTTGTGGGTATCATGATTCTCGAAAATGTTAATTAGGTAGTGTTACAGGTCTGTAAGACCCTCCACCTCGACGCCGCGTGTCAGCATACGTGGCCAATCCACGGATCGTCGAGGCGATTGCGCATGGGACGATCTGGCTGTACTTGCCGAAGTGACTGCCTCTCGGAACGAACTGAGTATGCGTCAGCGAATAAATCGGACTCATCAACAAATACACGGTAGATGCAAAGGCTTGCACTCCGCTTCCACAACGCTGCAACGCCCCACCTGCCTCGCCTCGTCACCAAAGATCTCTTGTACAAAGATCTTTCCAAAGTCAAATCCATGGCTGATGGGACGTGTGGCAGGTCCCCAAACGGTCAATTCAGCTGCCATGTCAGAAAACACTCAATGCCCGCCGGCCTATGGATGCACAGAATGACACCTAGGATGGGACGAGATCTAGCAACACGCGTCTCCTCATCCAATGGTCCTCCTCTTCCCATCCTTAGTATAAATGCTTCCTCCTTATGCCTGAAAAGGAGGGACTTTTCTAGGGGGTAAAAAACACACTACTACACCAAACATTTGATTATTATCTTCTCTCACATATTATTGGCACTTTCATTATTGCATGTTCAATCACTTCCCAGCGAGTGCTCCACCACCGACGATTCTCTTTTGATTAAGTTTCATATTGATTTGACCGTCGGAGTGCTTGCGGCGGCTCTCAGCCCCTCCGGGAAAGGCCAAGGGCGACTGACGGGGTGCCACATGTGCAGGGAGGAGTCGACTAGAAGACCTGTTTTCTGTTGGCCACGTGTCGGAGCCATTTTTCGAGGTCAACAGGTAGTAAGAAATATTGTAATTTTTAAGGTATACTAGTTAGGAGCAACGTGCAATGCANCGAAAAGTTATGCTCCGGTGTTTTAGTCTCATATTGAGACCTATTTTTGGCATAGGAAGTGATCGAATTGGAGAATGATGTCTGAATTAAAGTTGTAGCCAGATGAGTTAACTTTCCAACGCATTTTGCATCGCCTCAATAGGACATCGGAATACAAAGTTATGATAAAAATACTGAAAAAAAGTGCAGCTGCTTGTTTAAAACAAGAAATTCTGTTACATAGTCCGTTAAAACAACAAATTTCGTTAGTTTTTCCGTTAAAAACAAAAAATTCCGTTATATAGCCACTTTTAATATATAGAAGATATAAAAATCATAGGGTATTCAATTGAAACTTTTTAGAAGCCTCTATAAATCATGAGATATTCAAATAGAGAATGACTTTTGGAGAATTCTCTACGTACTGGATTTCTGGAAACAATTTGGGTTCTTAAAATTTATGTTAATCCGTGAAATTTTTTTGATTATGTTTCTAGAAATTGTTGTAAAAGTTTTTAAATTATTTTATTTGCACGAAAATTGAATGAATGGACCGTAACTTACTACTTTACCCAAGAAAATTTTGTGGACATCATGATTCTCAAAAATGTTAATTAGGTAGTAAGAAATATTGTAATTTTTTAGGTATATAATAAATTTGCAAGATGAAAAAGTCTTTAAAAATCTTTAATCAAAGTCTACATAAGTCTATGGAAGGCTTTTATTAATTCTTGACAAATTCAAATAAGTCACTTAAAAATCCACAATTTTTAAAGAATACATCCCAGTTTTCTTCACGTGGTTTAATTTCTTTCGGTTGTATACCTACTTCCTACGTACACGTGCTCTTGCTCTCATTATTTTATTATTATTTTCTTCGCCAAATCCTTAAAAATAGTGATAGGGGCACAAAATAAGGTGGTGTGCAACATCTTCAACTCTTGATGGATTACGTGCATTATTGAATAACAAAATGCATTGAACCCATACTTTTTATTTTTTTTAGTTATTGTTAATGTTAATATCAATGGTCGGCCACAAGACGCCAAATATGAAAAATAAATAAATAATAATTTGATCTTGATTAAATGGTCTAGACTATAAAGAGATGATGTCGATCGTTGAAAAGTCAAGTTACAATTGATCACATTACTTTCGCGCCATTCAACTACACATGACATTTATGTGTTGACGATGCGATTTGAAAATTCAAGTTATAATTCATCACAACATCTTCACGCCATTTGTTAGTGACGTGTATCCACGGGCAAATTTCCTACTTAAAAAAAGAGAGAGATTACGAAATTGGGGACTATGCCAACCTGGATAATAACGGAGTAATTATTATTTTTCTAAAAATGAAATCATTCAAAAATAAAAGGGGACTTTCTTCCTAGAAGATATAGGTTTGGAAATGTATGAGACGATGGGTTAATAATATTATCGTGACTATGTTGGTTATGATAATTATATTCGATTATGACATCAATGTTGATAATGAATTGTTTTGATACAATTATGATGTTCAAAGTTACGGTTTCATGACAATAATCAATAATAGAAATAAAATGTCACTTGATATCATAAATATATGATATTAAAATAATTGTACGCTAAGTTTCATATATTTTTATTACAATAAAAATTATAGGTTTACAATGATGACATTGTCGGAATAGTACTACGATAGTATCCATTTATCATGAGAATAAGAATAGTTATGAAAAATGCCCCCAGGGGCATAGGCGAGTTGGTAAACTTGAGGTGACGTGGGGAGAAATCCTCCGGCTTCGCAGGTTCGATTCCCCACTCTGTGGGTTCGTGTCCTGTTGGCTCTCTCCCTCAAGCCTCTGCCAAAGCGTGCATATCCCTCGATTTACATCCCACCTGGCTGAGGGGCCTACGGCACAGGTGGGGGGGGTTCGCCTTCGGGACTTCCTCCTCATCAAAAGAATAGTTATGAAAAATGTGGTATTAGTCTGACGATAATGAAAACAAAATAATGAGAATAATAATAAGAGCTACGACTAAGTTTAAGATATTGACAGTTCTTACTCTATTTATCGCATATCACCATTCATGATGATCTCACTGCCATGACATCGTGATCTCGCTGACGAACCAATCATGGAAGGCGATAAATGGATGTTGATGACGGTGGTGGAAGAGGAGAGTTGCTTTTTGTGGTGGTTTCTTGAAATGTTTGCACAAATCTTGAGCAAATATCATGGTAGTAATTTGTGCTTTACAATGGTTAACTCCAAAACAAGGGATCTTCTTTGGGGAATCAAGGGAGCAGTACATGGCTGGTGGTGGTATCACAGGTTAATGATGGTACACATCTGGCGGTAGGCGGTGCAGATCGGGTAGCAATAGGATTTCTACCGTAGGTGGTGTTGAAGGTCGACATGCTCTAGTGGCATTGATGATGGGTCAGTGGTGAGATGGTTTGGCATGTTGATTGTGCTGAGATAGATTATGGGCCAAGTGATGATAGTGAAGGTGGTCGTGGTGTTAGCTGAGGTGGTTGCCAACAATGATGGACATTAATAGTGGTGGTGGCAACGATGACAATCACCTAACACGGTATGCAACACTTTTAACACGGTAACATGTTATGAAAAAGTACGACACTATTTTTGTAATAAAAAACGTTCAACGGCATTTTAGAAAATAATTTATTTTCTGTTTTATGGAACATTGACCTAATTTCAAACCTTCAAACAAGAGTGAAGACATAACTCTTCATCTTTTTTAATTGAAGGCACTCTATCTATTTTTAGTAACATTTGGAAAAAGTAACAATCAAAAAACAATTTAATAGATAGTCACGGATAAAGAAGAAAGGCAAAGCAAAAACCAAAAAATGTGCAAAATGCTATTTTATTTTACTACCTCCTTGTGTCTTGAGGGAGAGACAAAAACCATAAAACCAGTTACATTATCCCTATCCTGAAGTCCTGTAGTTTGTTAACATCTAAAAGTTCTCTCTCTTTTTACATGGCATTTTATTGGCATAGAGGGGGAAACTCATCTTCATTCTTGAGGTGGAGGAGTGACAGCTCAGTAACCCTGAAAGCCCAAACCAGATACAACTAATCATCATGTATTTTAAACAGTTGAAAAATAATGAGAGAAAACACTTTACACCCACCTTTCTTGCTTCGTCGCTGCTGTTGAATCCTGGCCTCCCGTTGAGATGCCTAGAGTCGAGTCCCAAGCACAAGATAAACCCGAAATCACCTCTTCGGCCAGGCTCCCTAAAGACCCAAACTCGATTTTAAATGAAGCATTTTGGAAACCATTTGTATGGTTATCACCTTTCACTAAACGAGGAGACTGGCAGCATACATCAGACTTTCCTTGTCCTTGAATTCTGTTGCTTCTTGGTGGGCTTTCATAGGTACCGTTTTCCAAAGAATTCGACTTCCAAGAAGCAGAACTTAATGCATTTCCATTGCCGCGTTTGTGTTTCTGAAACTGATTGCGATTTCCCAGTGGCTTATGCCTTCCCCTCGCATGTGAAGGATTCTCCCTGGGAGAACCATTCTGCAAGACAGAAAGTAAGATCACGCTAAACCAAAAGGCACAGGAGGAAAACATGTACTCAAATTACTGGCAAAAAAGAATACCATAATGGGAAAGTAAGTTCCTATTCCTCGTGCTTTCTGTTTTCCTTCAGAACCAAAAGCAGCAGTGTGTAAGGCAGTATTAGTACCAAGACCCATAAGTGGTTCTGCAAACAGCATGTTTGAATTCATTTGGGGAAACTGACTCCTGTTGAGTGGCATTGATTGCCAAGCATTATCCAACGGCTCCATATTTTGAATCCTAGAAGGCAATGGAGGAGGGTGGGGTAAAGGAGCAGACAAATAAATCCCATTGCATAACTGACCATAGAGTAAATTCCTAATTTGGCAGTCATAATCACCACTGAGGTCTGCCAAAGGGTTCAAAGGTACGTCTGACTCTCCTGCTATGCTCAAGAGATCAATTTCTCCACAACTCTCGGATACATTTTCAAAATTACTTGCCTTGGGACTAGAAGAAGCCGAACCCACTTTATAGACGACCTTAGAACTATCCATACACCATCTATATGTATTATTCATTTCCACATGATTCTCTCTGCTCTCCAACCATGAAGTTAACCCAAACTTCTGATGAGCACTATTTGATAGGTCACCTTGGTGAAAGTTCCCACTTGCCGTGCTTCCATTTTCTACAGATGACTTGGAAGAGAAGTAATGGGATTTCTGGTAATGTTTCCCCAAGAGAGATGCACTATTATTGCTGCTTGATGCATAATCTGATGTGTTACGTTCAATCCTCAAAGTTGAATTAGATGTTGCAAGGTCATATGCATCCCCTGCAAGGTGGTGTCCTGAAGCGGGTCCATCAGCTGAGGAGCATGTTTCTGATTCCATCTCTAAAGTGTCTCTCATCGAGCATCTCTCTAGCTCATTTCTGAACTCCAAAGTGGATCTGTCTGAAGCCCCTAGACTATCATTCTCAAAATCACTGACAGATGATTTTAGAAGCGCATCATCCTCTGAGTATAATTCAGTCGAGGATTCTAAAGACACCGTCAAAGACTCTTCATCTTCAAATACCAAGGCTGAATGCTCGATAACACTAGTGTGATTTTGCCCATGTCTTGCAAGAGTATTTGAGAAGAATTCACATATCTCATCCACAACTTTATCTCTTGGTTGCAACAGAACTTGACCAAGCTTGCGAGCCCCATATTTGAAAGCACTACGTATACGGTAGAAATTGCCTAAAGGGAGAAAAATCAAGAATATTAGCTTGAACTAAACAACCCTTTTCACATTCTTACAATCAAAAGCACCAAAAGTTGTCCCAGTATAACAGGAAGACAGTATAAGAAATCAATGCTTACAACATAACGAGTTCATGTTTCCCCAAAAACTAATCAGATTCTTCAATCAGAAAATAATGCTCAGGAAAAGGGTGATGGGGACGGTGTGGCTTGTGGTACCACAGCCGTTGTTGTGGCTTCTGGTTATTCAAGCAAGTTCCAAAGACGTGTGGGTACTCCAATTCTAGAAGCTAGAGCAGTAAAAATACATGCAGCTTAATTAAGGAAAAACTAAGGATTCATACCTACAGAAGAATGAGAAAGCGAAGGTGGAGCTCAAGTAAGAATGAACTTCGTTTTGAAAAAATTCTGCTCTTGCAGTGACAACTGTGCTAATAGAGCAGCCACAGCAGTGACAATGTGACATAGATACGCATCTTAAGACAGAAGCGGTTCAGAAACCAATGTTGAAGTCCGAAAGTGCAGTAACAGTAAAGTGAGAATGAACTTTCTCAGTACGTTTCCTCTATGAAACTATTTATCGTATAAATATTTTAATTTTCAGACTTTCCACCTCGACATCGGAAGAATGTCATATTTTAGCAATGCTTCGAGTGTAAGGATTTTACCCAACAAAAGCATGCGAACCCAACACGGTTCAATATTGTATCACCCTAGATTGGGTCAAATTAACAAATGACATGTTTTCTAATGGATTATTCTAAAAACTGAAAAACTAAAGGAAAAAATATATTTTTTCTACCTAATAACTAGGGCTGGACAAAACTCCCGAACCGAACCGAACCGAATCGAACCGAGCGATTCTTTATAAGTTAAATACCCGAACGAGTATCTGAATCGAGAACCGATGGGTTTGGTTTGGTTCTCGGTTCTAGACCCAGAACCGAAAAATCAAATAAGAACCGAATCTAAATAATTTTTTTTTCATTTTTTATATTGAATTAATTAAATTATTTTAATCTTTTCTTAGCGGTTCTTCATAAATTAAATACCCCAACGTTTATCTTATTCGAGAACCAATGGTTTGGGTCGGTTCTCGGTGCTGGACCAAGAATCGAAGAACCGGATCTAAATAATTTTTTAAATTTTTTATATTGAATTAATTAAAAAATTTTAATTTTTTTAAAACAAATTAACTAATTTAGTGATTAATGCTTCAACTCCCAAGCCAAGTTCATGCCCAGCCCAGCCCAGCCTAGCCCAACCCAACCCAATTTCTAAATTCAATTTGTTGGCACAATTATTAATTTCATTGTTAAGCCCAAGATCATGACATTTTTAAGTTTCTATCATTCCCTTTCCAATTTCGTACTTTCATTCGATATTTTCGATCATCTCCTTCCCGGTTGATGAAATTTAAATTTTGTATTGAAAGGGAAAAAATTGTATGCAAAAAACTTGTTATTTTAGATATTCCTACTAGATGGAATTCAACATGCTTCATGTTAGATAGTGCATTAAATTTGTAAAAGATATAATCCAACTATAGAAAGTATTCGCAATGCGGGCAAATACTTTCGAGCATCTCCTTCCCGGTTGATGAAATTTAAATGTTGTATTGAAAGGGAAAAAATTGTATGCAAAAAACTTGTTATTTTAGATATTCCTACTAGATGGAATTCAACATGCTTAATGTTAGATAGTGCATTAAATTTGTAAAAGATACGAATGAACATATCATTAGTTGTATTTATGTAGTAGTACTGTAAATGTTACAAAAATTTAATTATGATACGGAACCGAACAGAACCAGACTGTTCCATTCATTAAATACCTGAAAATTTTGGTTCAGTTCGGATCTCTTCAGAACCGAACCGAACCGAACAATGTCCAACCCTACTAATAACATCTCATCACACTTCCCACCAGAAAATCTTAAGACAAATTGAGCAAGAATTTTCCTTACCTCTGTGCACACTACGTCCAAGGTTATTATTATCCTTCAGCGGGTCAATTATATTAAGATTTTTAGGCTGAAATGCTTTTGGGATTGTCTCGAGACTCCGAGTTGAACCTGAAAACATTCCTATACATTTTTCTAAAAATTCTTCACTAAGCATCAGATCCTTCTGTCCATCTTCTGGTATATTAACTGCAAACAAATCAGAAAAGAGAAGGCTGTGAAAAAGATTGAAACTAACAGAGAGAAAAGAAAATTGCTAGTGCCTAAGGGAGTATATGTGGCGTAGGTGTTTGTATGCGTGCTTGAGAGAGAGGCTATTGATGAAGTTAAACCATTTTCAAATAATCAAGTGCATTACTTACCCACTATATCTGGAAGTGATGATATTCGAACTGGCCCCTTCAAACTTACACAGTAGTTCTCCCAGTCAAATTGGCTAAAATATTCCAAAAATTTATAGAGTACCTAAAAATGCACATAATTTTAATAAACTGAACTTTGTGAATGTAAATGTATAAAGAGTCAATATCACATAGGGCAAATACCGCTAGAGGGCCATTCAGGGATGAATAAAATAGATGGAGTATATAGAGGACAAGTGTTTCCAAAGCATAAGTAGATATTAAACCATGGTGTGCACCAAGAATACGGCTCTCATAGTAGCACCAAGCTTTTACCAAAATAATGCTACGTTTAAAGAGATGATTTTTCCCAACAAGACGATCAACCTGCATTTAGAAAAAGAATCATCAAAAATTCAGCAAGCATAACTACTACATGCCTTTAGAGTTTTACTCACACGAGAAACTTGACAAATTTCAAGCGGTGCATCACCCAACATTCTTATTATTTTGAGTTATTTTTAGGGAAACTTATTAAAGAATCGATGAGGAAATAAATGAATGGAATTGGTCTTCTCTTAAAAAGTTTTATCTATCATCTACTTCAAGTTTATATCATCAATTAAAATCTATGAAGACAAAAAGAAAATAAATTACAACATCATATTTAAAGTTCTAGATTACATATCATCTACAAACCATCATATGAAACTGCAGTAGATAAGGGGTTCACTTGAGACTAAGTGTTGAAGTTTAATAGGTCAACCTGACGTGATTGAGTCCAGAAATTGGAAAGGAAAGAAATAAAAAATAATAATAATAAGAAAATGCACCGCTTTTTAACATTTTTGAAGGGGTTACAGATAAACAATATGTGCTAAACTTAATTTACCAATTAAAAGTACCCCCACGAAACTGAATGAAAGGTTTTCCATTCAGCTAATTTCAGCTTCTTTGTGACAGAGAAATACGAAACGTTTAGTATACATAAAAGAATAATGTTTAATTGTACTTCGAATGAATGGCATCCAAGTACCCAAATTTGCATATTTATACATTTCAGAACTAACAGTAAGGCTTTGTTTCTACCTGCTCAAGGAAACAAAGTGTAGAAAGTCCTCCCAACTGATTAAAGGAAATATCGATCACAATGTTCTGCACAAGGCATTTCACAATTTTCACCTGCCATCAGAAACACATGCACTCAGTTCAAAACCTCAGAGAACCACACAAGTAAATAGGAAAGAGCCACCTCCTGACAGCTTCTGGAAACATGTAGAATGAAAATAATATGCAAGTTGGACGATAAAAATAAAAAATCAAAATCAAATGCAGATGCAGCCTTTGTCAAGGTGGAAATAAGCAGTTGAGTAAGGCTACCTCGGCATCTATAAACTGCGCATCCTTCACTTCATATTCTGCATTTTCATTCAGCTGCTCCCCTTGCAGAATACCAAGAACGTCGCGCGCCAAAGATTCCTCAACATTAAGACTTTTAAGTGCAGTCAAGTCGATATCTCCATCAGGTAAGTATGTCTTCAGCGGCACAGACCCATAGGGAAAAGCCTATTACAAATATAATCCAAGTTATTAAGCCCTAAACACTTGAATAAGTCAAAGATGGACGCAAGAATGACAAGGATAAGACTATTCAGAACTAATACATGTGAACCATTATCTTGAATTATTTAGTGGTAAGAATCCATGAAGCTTCCATAACACATAAGTTTAATAGGATGCCTTGGAAAAATTTAAATAAAAAGAACTGTAAATAGGAGCAGAAAATATAACATCCCCTAAATTTCAACCTATGAGCATGTAAAGAATCTAGGGATTTTGCTCCTGCATTGACTTTGACTTTAAAGAGCCGACAACCTTCGACTAATTAAAATGGAATTCCAAACTTTACAACTTAACATTCTTCTTGTCACCACGACACCGACATTGCACCTGCACTTTTATCGCTTCATGATTTTGTCGAAAGATCGGAGATTCAGAATTAGGTATAATCATTTGAATCTAGCACAAATGAATAGACAATGCAGAATCTAACAAGTAATGAAAGTTCAAAATCCCTTTGTCCTAGTCTAAAAGGCAAACAATCAGATACTGCTACAACTTCAATAACTCATCAAATTATATAGATTATAAGATAAAATACCCCCTTAAGGCATCTAAATAAGACTTTATGCAAAAGCAACGTATTTTCAAGAATATACTTCAACTTTCCACACACCGGTAAAATATATAAATAATCGCACAAAATTCAATTAAGATTCAGCAAACTGAAATTAACCAAATCACTTCACAGAGAGAAAAATCATATTAAAAAGTTTTAAAAATTAAATAACTAAATGTAGTAAATTGAAATCAGAAAACATGTGATCACCTCACAGTCGAGATGACGCTTGATGAGCCTTTGTACGTAATCAATTACGTCTTTTCTCTTCTCTTCTGAGTCAAGAGTTGGGTGTATGCAATTCATCACTTGCTCGGCCGCTTCCTCTGCCGCTACAAAACACTCATCTGTAATTGAAGCCGGATCAGGTTGCCTCCGACGCGACCCAGAAAAGGAGCTGAGAGGGTCATCCTCCACCAAAACGCCGCCGTTCGAACTCAGTCCTCCAACATCACCCATGTTATTTATATTTATATTTATAATTTATAACAAATTTCACTCCGGGGCTTTCTCTAGCTTCATCATTTTTACCAAAGTTGCTTCCATTGTTGTTACACAAAAACAAAATTCTAGGAAATGAAGAGAGGGCGAGAGAAAAAGGGGTTTAGAATTGGGGTTTGTGTGAATGGGTTATGCGGAATTTATTGCAAATTGTAAAAATCTGCTGCTTATACATTTACATATACGTATACACAAATGGGAAGAAAATAAGTTTTATAGGGAAAAAGGAGAAAAAAAAAAAGACGAGAAATTCGGAGATAAGACAAAAAGGGTTGTTCGTATTTATATTCTTCTTCTCCAAACCTCTCATCCTCCTTCAGTTATTTGCAGGCGAACTCGTTTGTCTTCGTCCTCCTACCTTTTCTCTCTCCTCTCTGTCTACATATTAATAATATTATACATATAGTTTTCTATATAGATTTCTGGGTTTTCGTTTAAATCAAAAAAATATCTGCAAAAGAATGGAAATTCTGTCGAAGGGACGCGACGAAAGGGAAGCGGAGACAGGGAGGGAAGGGAAATTAGGATATTAGAAAAACTATATTTAATCGGTCCTGGAAGGATAGGGAACAGTAAAACGGCGACGTTTTTATGGTGGTCCAAGGGTTTTAGATTATTTTACTGGGCTCGGTTACGGCTTTGTGGATTTTGTATAATTAATAAAGTGAAGAAAAACATTAACAATTTGAAACCGAAATCACCGTGTTGTGTTTGGGCCCACCTCTACCCCACACACAACATAATTTCTATATATTTATCCACTCATTTTAACAATTTAAAAAATATATATATATTTTGAAGATTAGGCCGTACGTGTTGAGTGTTTAACAGTTTAAGCATGGAATAAACGAATGTTTCGATTCCCGATGAAAATCGATCGAACTTGATGTATTTATTGGTGTTATTATGTCAAGGTTGTTATCGATCTGAACACGACACGCATAATAAGGTAATTAAGATAACGACAAATGATCTTACAACTGAATAGAATTTATGTTGTCTCATATCCTTTGTCAGATAACCTACACGCTACACGTATGATTCGTCTATGAAGGACGAGTTTATCGAAAGAAGTAATATGATAAATTGGATAACTACAATTAATCTTACAAATTAAATAGAATTTACAATTTTTATATCATTTATCACACTTTATCCTACACGACTCTACACGTATCGTATGTCAATGAAGAACGAGCATGACAAAAAAAGTTAGCTTTTCAAGAGGACCCACAAATGGTGCCACACCAATGTGGGTCCCACAGTTTCTTTTTCTACACAAATTTTTGGGGTCCCCCAACTTATATTTTATATGAAAAATAGCTCTCCATATAAAAAAATGTGAAATAGTGTCAACCATAATTTGAGGCATAAACTGCAAACACGTGTGGCAAATCGAATGGGGATTTTTCATATAAGATTTTCTATATCTAGCGTGGAAAATTACGAATTGTGTCAATCCACAGAGAAAAAGATCTCACATTCTGCGTTGCCAGTAATTATTACATGTACTTGCACTAAAATGCGCCGTGGAAAATCTGTTCTCATCCCACGAAACTTTACTTTTCACCCAATTTTGATTTTTTCGTCGGGCCGGCGATAAATGCCCGAGTTTCAACATACAAACCACGATATTTTGCTAGTAATATCAGTTAGTTCTACTAATAGTAACACAACCAAACAAGATTAGTTCAGTCGGGATGTATGAAATAATAAAAAATTATAATATTAATGTATTAAATAATAAAATATTATATGTGTGTCACGTAGGACGACTACAGATAGTGCTATGAATAGCATTACTCATAATTTTTATGCTTTATAAAAAATTATAAAGTGTTAAATATTATGTAAATATTTTTATTTTACTTTTATGCTTTCCATTTCTTACTATGAACTAAATCAACGTGTTTGATTGGAAAAACTAAAACAATTCCCATTATGCATAGAAGGCTAGAAATTAGAAAAATTGTTTTAATCTTTTTTAAGATATTATTTATCGCTTGTTCGACTTCGAGTAAATCCTGAATGTCGATTATCGTCGATTCGACTTCGATTTGACTCAAATTCTAAAGCAAATAGGATTTGAAATAATTTGGCTTGATCTTAAATTTTGGACCAATCGGCTTGCGAGTTAGTGTAATAAATAAACTTTCGAAAATTATATCTTTGCAGAAATTGGGAACTTTTAAAAACAATAACTTTGCATAAATTGGAAATTTTGATAGGTACATAGTATTTATATGCTGGGTAAAATATAGAATAAGAAGTCTACATTACGCATATGTTTGGTACAAATTCCTTACGGTTCATTTTTTTTATACGCATTATCTCAATAAAATAATTTTACACATGAATTATTTTTTTCTATTTTTTAATCACGCAATCTTTAAAAGTATAATTATTTTTCATAAAATCTGTACGTCAGAAAATCTACCTAACATTTTCTGTCTTTAATCGCAGGTAGAAGTCACATAGGTTTGACTTTTTGAAGGAAAAATAACTTTAATGTACATATTAACGGCAAGTGCCCATTTAATGCACATGTCCTTCTGGCAACTATAGAAAAAACTTTTCTAGATTATGATAATCATAAGCTGATTACTTTAATTTCAACATCTATTATTCTTACGTGTCTAAATACTATGAGTAAGTTTGTTACCTAATATTCAACAAGACTGAAAATTTATTTTTATTTTTTATTTTTTAAAAAAAATGATTTTTATTTTAGGGTCCGTTTGATTGTAATGATGAAATTTGGATGGAAATAAAATGAATTATAGGGAATTAAATTGCCTATAATTCATTTTATTCAGAATTGTCAATTAATTGTGTTTGATTGGCATAATTTTGCACCTGGAAATGTTGAAATTTTAGATATTTTGGTGTTCGTTTGACTTTGTTTTCCATGAAAATTATCCATTAAAGGGAAAAAAAAATTATAATTAGGGATAACATTTGTTTCCATTGCAAAAAAAAAAAAAAATGGGAAATTGAATTCCTCGAAAACCAAGAATTGTGCACGTGTAGGCCAAAATTTGGAAATTCAATTGCCGGGAATAGTTGGCCAATCAAACATATAATTTATGCGGAAATGAATTTTTTTTTTTCCATTTTCCATGGAAAACCACCTCAATCAAACAGGCCTTATGCAATTCACATTCTCAAATGTATTATAAGAGCATGGTCGATTGGCATTGTTGTACAAGGCAATGCAAGAATTAACAAGTCTAATTCGTTGTGGTGACTTGACAATTTCAACCAAGATAGTCTATTGAATTAAACATGATTTTAACTCTTTTTTTAGTTAATTTCGTGAAGTATTAATTTAACGTACTAGTTACAATTTCATATAAAACAAACTATTGTATCGGATAAATTTTAATATTTGTTATTAATGTGTGTAGTATTATCCAATAATTATATCGTCGTAGTAGTATGCTCGTTACAAGAACTGGACGATACAGAATACGGCAATTTACTCTATTCGACGGAAATATCTTAACCTTTTAATAGCATTTCCTCAATTGAAGTAAAGTCTAATGCATGCCGCGTGCTATATGCGCACATTGGACCAGTTAGCGACATACACTCCCCTATAACAATTTAGGATAGATATTTATTTTTTATTGGACCAGTTATTATTGCAAGCTCCACAATAAATTCAAAAATGTACGACTGTCAAATATCGCCTCTCTTTTTCATTTTTTCTGTTTTTCAATTATTATTATTATTATTACATAAGACCTGCAATTTTTATCTTTCAATCGCACATTTCATCAACTTTAATAAAATTTACTAAAAATATAACTTTTAACAAAATCATGCACGAGTGAAATGTCCATAACTGAAATGGCATTAAGAAAGTCAGCTTAATGTCAAAGTTACTGTCAATTATAAGGTGAGTGCAACGGAGAAAATTGGGTTGACGACCAAAGTTGAATATTTGCAAAGTCATACTTCCCAGAAGGATCATTCTCGTGCTCGATATTTCAATTTCATTACAAGCTGAATCCTTTACGATATAAACCATCTAAAGAATGGTTGCAATTGTACATGAACCACATTTGCTATGACAACAATGGACACAAATTTAATATTTGGTTGTGTTTGGTGTAGATGGCAGATTTGGTTTAGATTGAGGATGATGTTGACTAGTGACTCTCAAGAAAATAATTACGGGATATGTTTCAATAATATTATAACTTATGATTTTTAGATAAACGAACGCAATAACTTAGTTAGAAAAGTAGACACATACTTGAGAGTATCACATATACACGAGTTTCATATTGTAATTCTCAATTAATAGACGTGATAGGTGCATCAAACATGTACACATACAAAAAAAAAAAAAATCACGTGTTTCATAGATATGGCGATTAGTGTGGAAATATTAGATAATGAATCTCGTAAATTAATGGTTACAAAAGTACATATCATATACAATTGTCGTATGATAAAATATGTTACGTATATAAGAAAATGCTAACTAGCAAAGCTTATGCATTATTAATTTATGTTTGTTTCGGATTTTGACCAATTTGGAATAAAGAGTGGACATAATCTACAATATATAAAAAAGAAGGATTGAGAATAAACGTTTGAATACCTATTTTACCCTTATATATTTAGCTATAAGCCCAATATACTCTTATTTGATTTACAATTTGTCCTTAAATTTCCTGCTTTTTTTTCTCAACTATGTCCTTATTTAATCCTTCTAATTTTTCATGCATTAAGTAAATTTTACAACTTATAATATTAAACACGTTTCTCATCTTTCAGCCAATTGATCTTCAAATGAAATATAATTTATGTATAATTCCTGATAGTTTATAATATAATGTTACATAATATGATTATTCCTATATAAATATATTTCTTTATCAAAAAACAATAATATGTGATATGGTCATAATATTTTACCCCGATAGCCGAACTTTCTTTCCTTGATC